TTTTTTTTTTTTTTTCGGGGGGGGGGGGGGGGGGGGGGGGGAAGAAAGGCTTTTTTTCCCCCCCGGTCCCCGCCGCTCCCTACATCTAGCATATTCCTCCGCACCCGGGGAATGTGGAAAACAACCCCCCTAAAAGCCCGCCCCTTTCTCTCCGAAAAACCAACGCAAGTGACGCACAGGGTTTTTTTTTTTTCTTGTCAACAGAGAAATCAAAACGGGGGGGGGGGGGGGGGGGAGAGAGAGGGATCGGGATGGTAGTGCTCTTCATCGCGTTGTGATAGTGGCTGGTCAGCTGCCAGCAAGTTGGGCAGGTCTGGTTTATCGCGCTATCGCGCTATCGCGCTGTCACGCTATCGCGTTACCTCGCTGGCCTCGTCGATGCGGCTGGTAGTCAGCGGACGGCGATCATGAACAGCGGGAGCGGCGCGTCGGCTGGCATGGGAAGTGCGGTAAAGGTACTCGAGGAGAGGCTCGCCTCGATGAGCATGTTGCCGGAGCCCGGGGTGGTGCAAGCCGAGAACATGGTGCCGGACGGGATGTCGTAGGTCGCTGCCGACGCGCACTCGGTGCCAAAGCCAAAGCCGGGCAGCTCGATGACCTTGGTCACCTTGACCGGCGAGGAGAGCTTGAGCTGGGCGATGTACGCAATGTCAGCGTCCGTGGCGGGGAGAATGATGCCGTAGTACCCGTTGTTGCGCCAGTTGAAGGCGAGGGCGGTGACGGTCATGCCCTCGGGCATGGGGTAGATGCGGGCCGGGTAGCTGCCGCGGTACATGTTGACGCCGTCGGTGAGGACAAAGATGTTGTTGACCGAGTCCCAGGTCGACGACACAATCTCGGCGTCGGAGAAGACGGCCATCGAGCCCGACGGCGAGAGGGTGGCGGCGTTGATGTCGATCGAGCCAAAGGTGACCATCGAGCCGTTGATCGCGAGGTACGAGCCGCGCCCGGCGCCATTGTCCGGCTCGGCAACAAGGACAACCGAGGCGTCCGGCGGCGAGAACGGGACCGTCGACGCGCCAATGCAGCCGCCCGACGGGGTGATGGTCACAAGGGCCAGCTCGTCCGCATCCGTCGGATACGCCATCTCCGTCGTGTACGCGCCCGGGTACACATACGGGCCCTTTGGCTGCGGAATGTCGCAAGCCGGCGTCACCTTGCCCGTCGTCGGCTCAAGCGAGCCGAGTGTCACCTGGCCTGTCGCGTTGCGGTAGGCGGTGTAGATGACCGAGCCGTGCGCAGAGGCCACAAGCAGCGTGCAGAGCAGAGCAAGCGAGAGAGTGATGTTCATCATATGTAGTGTGGAGTGCAGTGTGCAGTGTGAGTGCGAGTGCGAGGTGGTGGAGTGAGCCGACTGTTTTCTGTTGTGGCAGCCAGTAACACATTGTACTACTCTTGTACAACAATCCATGGACGATGCGACGTCTGTGGAGCGTCGCGGAGGGCGGCTTGCGCGATGAACCAATATATCCTTTTCGTACCGTAAAGGGATAAAGGCCTTCCATTTCGCCGACCCTCCGCCCACCCGCCGCCGCTCACCCGCCGCTCACCCGCCGCCGCTCACCCGCCGCTCACCCGCCGCCGCTCACCCGCCGCTCACCCGCCGCCGCAGAACGCGACCAACACAATGAGCCGCCCGCCACACGCTCGCGCACCCACCCACCCACACAGGCACACACTCGCTCTTGCCCACTCGGTCACCCTCGGCCTCCCTCCACCCCTCCACCCCCCACCACTCCTCTCGACTCTATTCCTCACACAAATACTATGCTTCGTGCTGGTGCATGGACGCAGGCTTGCCGAGTGGGTGCACAGGCATGGGCTTCGGCGGCGAGCGGGGGAGCGCGGGGGCTGGCGAGGGCAAGCACTGGCGGAGGCAAGGTGGCTGGCGTGAGCAAGGATGAGTACCCGCTGTTGATGTCGCCGCTAAAGGCCGGCAACACGGTGCTGAAGAACCGCGTGCTGATGGGATCTATGCACACCGGGCTAGAGGAGGAGGACGGCGGGTTTGAGAAGCTGGCGGCGTACTTTGCTGCCCGGGCGGCCGGCGGTGTGGGCACCATGGTCACCGGTGGCGTCTCGTGCAATCGGGCTGGATGGGTCAAGCCGTTTGCCGCCAAGCTGACCAACGCACGCGAGATGGAGCCGCACAAGCTCATCACGTCGGCGGTGCATGATGCCGCCGCCGACTCCAAGATTGTCATGCAGATTCTCCATGCCGGGCGGTACTCGTACTCACCGATTGCGGTGGCGCCGTCGCGGATCAAGTCACCGATCTCGCCGTTCTCGCCGTGGGCACTGACCAAGCGAGGCGTCCGCAACACCATTGCCGACTTTGCGGCAACGGCTGCGCTCGCTAAAGAGGCCGGCTACGACGGGGTGGAGATCATGGGCTCGGAGGGCTACCTCATCAACGAGTTTATTTCGGCGGCGACCAACAAACGGTCGGACGAGTACGGCGGTGAGTACGCAAACCGCATCCGGTTCCCGCTCGACATTGTCGACGCGGTCCGACAGGCTGTCGGCTCGGATTTTCTCATCATCTTCCGCCTCTCCATGCTCGACCTGGTCTCCGGCGGCTCGGTCTGGCCCGAGGTGGTCGAGCTCGCCGTCAAGCTCGAGGAGCGCGGCGTCGACATCATCAACACCGGCATCGGCTGGCACGAGGCACGCATTCCCACCATTGCCACTCTTGTCCCGCGCGGCTCGTTCTCGTGGGTGACCGGCAAGCTCAAGGGCGAGGTCGGCATTCCGCTCGTCGCCACCAACCGCATCAACATGCCGCACGTCGCCGAGCGCATCCTCGCCGCCGGCGAGGCCGACATGATCTCCATGGCCCGCCCACTGCTGGCCGACCCGGACTGGGTCAACAAGGCCGCCGCCGGTGAGCCCGAGACCATCAACACCTGCATCGGGTGCAACCAGGCGTGCCTCGACCACGTCTTCTCGCAGGAGCGTGCCACCTGCCTCGTCAACCCGCTCGCAGCATACGAGACCGAGCGCAAAATCAAGCCCCTCGCTGCGGACGCCCCGCGCAAGCACGTCGCCATTGTGGGCTCCGGCCCAGCCGGCCTCGCCGCCGCCACCGTCGCCGCGCAGCGCGGTCACGACGTGTCACTCTTCGACGGCGCAGACGCGCTCGGTGGCCAGTTCAACCTCGCCAAGCGGGTGCCGGGCAAGGAGGAGTTTGTTGAGACCATCCGCTACTACTCGACCATGGCCCGCAAGCACGGCGTCCGCATTCACCTCGGGACCCGGATCGGCGGCGTTGACGACCTCAACGCCCACCTCCCCGAAGGCGCGTCGCGCTTCGACGACGTCATCGTCGCTACCGGCATCAAGCCGCGGGTCCCGGACATTCCCGGCCTCAAGGAGTCGCCCAAGGCTGCCATCTACACCGACGTCGTCTCGGGGCGGGTCGAGCCCGGCACCCGCGTCGCCATCATCGGCGCCGGCGGCATCGGCTTTGACACGGCAGAGTACCTCGTTCACTACGACCACGTCGTGCCGCAAGGCCAGGAGCCGGACCCGGACGCGCCCAAGCCGGCCGAGTTTGCCAGCCAGTGGGGCGTCGACATGGAGCACACCCACCGCGGCGGCCTGCTCCCTGCCGGCTCGCCGCCGGATCACGGCCGCACCATCTACCTCCTTCAGCGCAAATCGTCCAAGCCCGGCGCCGGCCTCGGCAAGACCACAGGGTGGGCCAAGCGGAAGATGCTCGCAGACGCTGGTGTCCACATGATGCCCTCGGTCCAGTACAAGGCCGTCACCGACGATGGCCTCGTCATCACCGACCCGTCCGGCAAGGAGACCACCCTCGAGGTCGACACCGTCATCATCTGCTCGGGCCAGATCTCGGAGTCGTGGCTCAAAGATACCCTCGAGGCCGCACAGGTCAAGACGCCCGACGCCGCGCCCGCCGCCGTCCACCTCATCGGCGGCGCCTTTAAGGCTGCCGAGCTCGACGCCAAGGCCGCCATTCTGCAGGGCACCCTGCTTGCTGCCAAGCTGTAGCCAGCCTCCCTCACGCCCGAGTTTCACAGATACGGAGTCGTAAACCGCGCGCTGCCGTTCGGCACGGCCCGGCTCGTTGCCCGAAGCAGTCCCGGCGTCGCTGACGCCGAAAACCCGCCGAGCAGCCTTGTCGCGCTACCTGATCGCGCCGACGCGAGCGGCGTCTTGGGTGACGAGAAGAACGACGGGACCGTCGGCGGCCGGAACGGAGAGCTCGAAGGCCTCGCGGCGCTGCTCGACCGCGCCGGACTCAGCGACCTTCGGGCATGCTCGGTGCCGTCGGCGCAAAAGCTCGCGTCGCAAAAGCTCGCGCCGCAGACCTCGGTGGTGCTGACGCCCGCGGTGGCACAAACTCCCGCGCTGCAGCAGGCACTTTGGCCAGCGTTGTCCGCAGATGTGCCGAGAGCGACACCGTCTTGCGTAGGTGCTCGGCAAGGAGCGCCTCCTGGGATGCGGCTTGGTCGAGAAGCGCCTCGTAGCGCCCAATGTCGGCGTCGAGCGCGGCGACCGCGTCGGTTGCCGCCTGCTGGGTTGTGGCCAGCTGGCGGCCCTCGTCCTCGAGCGTCCGTAGCGCCCGCTCCTCGGCGTCGAGCCGCGACCGGAGCGTGTCGTACTGCCGGCGGAGGGCAGCGACGTCGGCTGGCGGACCCTGCGGCCGATGGAAGGCGGTGACCAGCCGCTGCAGAACCGGCGACGCTTGACGGCGTGCACGTGGTTCCGCCCGTGGCGCCGGCGAGTTGCCGGACTGCAACGCGGTGTTGAGTCGCGCATCATCGGCACCGGCGAGCGCGCCCTTGAGCCGGACAACCAGCTTCTCGAGCGCGTAGTACTGACGTGCGAGCGAGAGCGTGACCGGAACAAGTTCGTCGTGGCTCGCGGGAATGGCGTCAAGAACTGACGGGTTGACCGCGTTGTACGCGTGGAGCAACTGCGCGAGCTCGACCCGCTTGGCCGTCACGTGGGCTGCAAGCGACGACGGCGGCAGCGCAGTCGCCACCTCGGCTGGCGCGGCAGTCTGTGTCGGCGCAGCGTCAGTAGCAGGCTTCTTGCTCTTGGGCTTTGGTGCCTTTTTGAGCTTCTTGGCCTTGGACCGGAGCTCAAAGACCGACGGCCGCTGAGGCGTCGCCTTGACCTTGTGCGCCCGCGCCTCATCTGGGTCGATGGCGGTCGTCTTGAGCAGCCGGGCACCGGCCGCGATCTCAATGACCGACGGCCGGCGCTTGGCACGGACGTGCTTCGGAAGAAGCGCGGCAGCAGCAGCGGCGCTCCCGCGCCTGTCTGCCGATTGGGACGGAGGCGGCGGCGGTGGAGGCGGCGGTGGTGGCGGTGGCGCCGGCACCGGCGCTTCGGGCGCCACCACTTCCGAAGACGACGAGAGCAGAGCGTCAAAGAGCTGCTGCTCCGAGAGCCCTGTCTGGCCCATTGCCGCCAGCATGCCCTTGAGCTTGACCGCCAGCCTCATCTTGTCGCCGACTTCCCGCAGCGAGAGCGACGGTTGCAGCGAGAGCGTCGGTGACGAGTCGTCGCCGTTATCTGCAGATGCGGCAGCCTGGGGCGAGAGCTCCGCCTCGGACTCGAGCGAGTACGATGCCAGTGTCTGCGCCGTCGATCGTGTTTGCGCGCCATGATGAATTGACGACGCCGACGGCGACGCCGACAGTGATCCCCCCGAAGCCGATGACGAGCACGAGGCCGAACCCGAGGCCGAACCCGACGACGACGACGACGACGGCCCTGATGACGATGACGCCGACGGCGATGACGAGACCGCTGAGGGCGACCGCGATAACGATGACTCTGGCAAAGGAGCGAGGTCACTTGCCACGCCAGTGGCGCCCATGGCCGAGATCTGAGAGTCGAGCGCAGCGAGGAGGGCCAACGCGTCGCCATCGTCGACAGTAGGCGAGGGCAAGTCGGAGCCGTCTGACAACGAGTCGTGGCCCAGCTGAGCAGAAGCCGGACCAGCCCCAGCCGAGGCAGACACCGGTGCCAGGCCGGCCATCTGAAGTAGTTCCTCGTATGTGCTCATCCCTGCCTGGGAAGGCCGTGAGTCAGGTGGTGGCTCGAGTCCGGGTCAGGCGCCCTGGCCGTGGCCGTGGCCCTGGCCGTGGCCGTTGCCAGAGCCGCGACAGACGAGCGGTAGATGGGGTAGATCGGGGGTAGATCAGGGCAGATCGGGCTGGAGTGGGGTGGAGTGCATGACGGTGCAGATGTCGTGGGATAAGTGGCGAGGCGGGAGATGTAGGAGATGGAGAGGTGGAGGTGGGGTGTGCGGAATGGTGGGGGGCCGGAGGTCGGGGTGTGCTGGCTGTAAATCGGTGATCATGCTACGCAGGCGGTCGAGCTTGATTTTCGGCTGGGTCCATGCATGATGGAAAAGGAAAGAAGGAACGGATCAAGGTGTGCGGGAGTGAAGGGATAGAGTTGGGAGATGCGGCAGAGGCGGTGGGTGAGGGATCGTCATCGTTTGTGAGGATATCCTTGCGCTGGGAAGGAGAGGGACGATCGGCCGTACGTCATTGCTCACCTCCGCCCGCCTCGACCCGTATTCGCCCCCCCCACACATTGCCCCTCATCCATCACAGTCAGCCACCAAGCAATCGTCCCTCCCCTTCCACCCCCCACCGACTGACTCGATCGGTGAACTGATCGACTTCCCTCCCTCCTCCCCCCCCCCCCCCGGCTCCTCCACGGTCGTCCAACGTTCTCCGTCAGCCACCTGTCTCTCTCATTTCATTCGCCAAATGTTCTCCTTCGCGACCCGTGCTGTGACTGCCTCTGCCGGCCGCCTTGCAGGCGCTGCCTCGGCCACTGCCACTCTCTCTGCTCTTGCCCGTGCAAAGTCTACCTACGTCCTCCCGGACCTCCCCTACGAGTACTCGGCCCTCGAGCCCGTCCTCTCTGGCGAAATCATGGAGGTATGCCCCCCCCCCCTTCTGCCCCCGCCTGGTGACACTGCCGCGTCGCCGACCGTCACGACCCGTCACCCCCCCCCCTCCCCCCCTCCCCCTCCCCGCACCCATCGCTGACTCACTCGTTGATCGAATGTTTGGCGACCAGCTGCACCACTCCAAGCACCACCAGACGTACGTGAACAACCTCAACGCGGCGTCGGAGGCGCTCGACTCGGCCATTGCCAACAACGATGTGTCCAAGCAGATCTCGCTCCAGTCGGCCATCAAGTTCAACGGCGGTGGCCATCTCAACCACTCGCTGTTCTGGACCAACCTCGCGCCGACGTCCGAGGGCGGTGGCGCCCCGCCCGAGGGTGCCCTTGCTGAGGCCATCGACGCCCAGTTTGGCTCGCTCGACGCCTTTATCACAAAGTTCAACGCCACCACCGCTGCCGTCCAGGGCTCGGGCTGGGGCTGGCTCGGCTACAACAAGGAGACCAAGCAGCTGCAGATCGCCCAGTGCGCCAACCAGGACCCGCTCGAGGCCACCACCGGCCTCGTCCCTCTCCTCGCCGTCGACGTCTGGGAGCATGCTTACTACCTCTCCTACAAGAACGACCGCGCTGCTTACCTCAAGAACATCTGGAAGATCATTGACTGGCACAACGTCTCGGAGCGCTTTGCCCTCGCCAAGCGTGCCTGATCCGCTCATGCCACGCCCGCCTTACCCGCGCCCGCGCTGCCGATCCCACCCCGGTCGTACCCCCTCTGGCCCGCCGCGGGCTAGTAGCCCCCATCACGTGCGATAAAGGCTTTTACCCCTCCTACCTCCATGCTCTTCCGACACGACCAGCCAGTTGTGCTTGCTGTCGGCCACAGCCTTGACCCCCCCCCCCCCCCTCCTCAGCCCCAGACTGGCC